ATATCTATTTATGTAATTATTTGATACCCCTAAATATAAATTAAATGGCAAACTCACAATTCTTGTGCAGCAGCCTCCTGTAATATATCTCGAGGCATACTATAAAAAATATAAAATAGCGTCTCGTCCGAAAATGACCCTATTTTTGATTGCGCTGGTGGTGGTGGTTGCACGTTATAACATGACGGTAAATGATACTCAGGCTCAATTAACCCAACAGCCTGATTATTTTCTGACCATGGTGAAGTGAATGTCGCATAAAGTGCACTACAAAGCGTATGTTTCAAAAACAAAGATGTATATAATACATAGTTAATATAATGATAGTAATCAATACATTAAATTGCATTATATCTTCCAATTTTTTTGATTCCAAGAACGTTTCACCTCTTTAAGAATCAAAAAAAATTAAAAATAAAAAAAAAAAAAAAGAAAAATACAATAATTGTTTCAAACTGATACATACTCCGGCGAATTTAAATTTAATCCTAGCGTTGTAAGATCACTCCCTAACGCTAACATGCTTAAATCAGGATCAGTCATTCTTATTACACTCAGTAGGCCAAGCAATCCGAAACCATCAGCCGATGCTAGACCAGCTGTTGAAGATGACGGATTTAACGAAGGACCACCTACGGATGATTGTAAAGTTGATATGCCTGTTGACGAGGGTAGCATACCCATTAAGGAAGATGTTGAATATGGCGTTGTTGAGGTGAGAGGTCCAGTTAATGAGTACGGTATCATCGAAGAGGATGAAGAGGGAAATTGTTGTAAGATTTGTACAGTACCTCCAGCTTTTGCAGAGTAGTTCTAAAGCGTTTGAAAAAAAAAAAAAAACGGGCCAAATAATTCGATATTGTAGCCGAAACATAATTGTTCAAAAGTATTTTGAATAGATAGATTAACATAAATTTTTCGAAAGTATTTTTTTGAATAAGCAGATTAACATAATTTTTCAAAAGTATGTTGAATAAGTAGATTAATATAATTTTTCAAGATTGATAGATTAAATAATTTTTCAAGAGCAAGTTGAATAGGTAAAATTATATTAGTTGAATATGCAAAATTATATTCATTATTTATATATAAATGGATTAAACTAAATTACACGAATCTAGTGTAGTAACACACCTTTTTTGTCCTGTTCGGACACAGAATTAATTGGAGGATGTGGGGGTGGTCTAAGTCCGCCTGAATGTCATTAGAGAAGTAAATCTTAATTCACATACTTTTGAATAATTTCTAATGTTCAAAAATCAAATGATTGGGTAACATTATCAACTAGCAGAATTATATTATGACATACCAACGCTCATCCGACTTTCCTGAATTCCGGATGCTGATAAGCCTGTTGAGATATTATTTCCATTATTCAATCCATCAATATTATTTTGTTGATGATTGACGAGATGATGTGATACTGGCTGTGAACCAACA